TTGTTGCGTTGGACTCGTCTCAATGAGTACTTCACGTTGGTATTGAGTTTGATAGCTTTGAAAATTTCAGATGTCAAAAAATGTGAACCATATTGCAATTTTCGACATACTTTGGTTACTTCTTGACTTCTCGGGTTGGTGGGTTTGGACTCTTTAAGCCGATACGAATCCTGCAATATGTTCAGATGTGGATTTCGATAAGCCGAGGTGCTAGTTTTATGCCAAGATCGTAGTGCCAAACAAGTTATCTATGCTAGATAAAATGCAAAATTGATATTAATTTGCTCTTGATAACATGCCAAATGATTTGTGGATTGCAGGGGTTATGAATTGATAATATGCGGATTTGCAGTTTCTAATATGCCGAGTAAGTGGCCGAATAAGCCGAATAAGTTGTCGGAACTTTGTTGATAATATGCCGAATAAAAGTTGTCGAAGCCGAGTGATAATATGCAGTGAATAAAAATTGCCGAATAAGTCAACAAGTTGTTGGAACTCCTTGTTGATAATATGTCGAATAAACCAGTAAAATTGTCGAATAAGCCAATAAAATTGCTGAATTGTTCGTTCGGCCTGTGGATATAAGTTGGTTTGTTGGTGGTTGCCAAATATGCGTAGTTGTGATAGCCGAATGTAAAAGAAATTCAAGTTGGGGTGAATGATCGGTGAAAATGGATGATTATGGCCTAGCTCTAGGAGCCTGTTGTCAAAATTGCACGTTGACCAGACACGATCTGATCGGTGAACTATCATTTAATGTTTCCGATTGGCCAGCTTATTGATCCCAATACGAAACTCAGAATTTGCAAAATTGGACCCGAAAAATGGATTCTATATAGTAAAAAATGCGAGGGTAGACATTCTAGAAGTTATCGGATCACTCGATTGATTCGAACAAGCTAGGATACAACGTAGCACTTTGCACCGAAAAGCGCACAATAAATTCTTATGTCATCTTCTTCATGCAACATATCGTTGAAAGCAAATTGGTTTTTAGTTTCAAACTCCCAACTTTGAGCTTTTGTGTCTCCCTTGTTTTAAGTCCGATTTGCCTCATTTTTGCGGTGTTGAACTCATATCTCGACCTAGTGTTCATTCCACTATTCAAATGCTTCATTCCGCCATTATTGGATGCCGTCGGACCTCCGAAAGCTGACAAAAAATAAAATTATTCTATCATTTTTTTGTTTTTTTATTATTATTTTTTTATTTTTATTGTTTATGGGTTTTGTTCGGCTCTTGTCCTCGATTAAAGTGTGGCCTACGGAAGAAGGGTGTTCGGCAAAAGGTTCTCTTGGTAGAATGCGCTCGGTAGGAAAAATGTGCTTGGTGAGGTTCACAATGGGTGTTCAAGTCGCACTCGGCAGTGAATAACTGGCAGCTCATTGGTTTGTGGGATAGCCGAAACACTTGGACACCATCTCGGCAATTTCCTTGGTTTATCGAAACGAGGCGTTGCAAGCATTGATCTTTTGGCAACTCGACAACTCGGCAAGAGGAATTCAATAATTCAGCAAGATGTATTCGGCTTTGCTGAGTTTGGCAATTTAGTCGTTCGGCTATTTGTGGCAATTAAATGACCTTGCATGAGCTATTGAGCTCGAAGCTTGCGGAGCGAAGTTGTCGAATATAAGAATGAATTACTGGAGGAGCCGAACAATCTTGGTGTTCTATTTTGTTTTCCGGAAAGCTTCGTAGAAAGAAGACAATGTCGTTGAAGCTTCAAAGCATGGTTATTGAATTCTAGAGAGAGAGAGTAAACCCAATTGTAGAGCTGTAGTCTGTCTTGCTTTCCACCCTGTTGTTTTTTTTTGTTTTTTTAATAAATATTGACAACCAACAATAAAATCAAAACAAGTTTTGTGAGAGAATAAATAAATAAAGACCCAAGGGTGGGTTCAGCTGAGCAATCTTTATTCTATTGCCGAAAAGCTACTTTCACAAAGAAGAATGTCAAACCCAATTTTAGAGGGAGAAAAACTGAAGACCTAGCCTTGGATTCTACGGAAATTTTTAGGTACACATGCAAACATGTTGAGAATCAACTTTAAGATAAGTTTTGAGAAACAAAGAATAAATAAATAAATGGACAGACCCATGTAAGAATTTAGCCGAACAACTTGATTGAATTGTCGTAAAGCTGTTCGCACCAAGAAAAGTGTGAAAACCATTTTGAGAGAGAAAATGGAGATGTAAAAATAGACCCATGAATTTTGCTGTGTTTGAAAACTTTTCCATCCAAAATCGATATGAGCAAAAGCTTACACAAAGTTTGCACGCAGACACATACGTATATACAATTCAAGAACCCATTTAATTAGAGAGAAAATAGATCACCATCGCATTGTTGTTGAATTTTTACTTACAGTACCATGTTTGCTATTTCCTTCGTTGAACTCTTTCAGACGTTTCCCACAGACGGTGCCAATTGTGAGATCAGGAAAATCCTCCCACATGGATTGTAGAGATCCAACGAAGAGACAAGCTTTGCCCCTGTAAATCTGCAAAAATGAATATGGTTGGTGCCACCCAACCGGGGTTGCCGGCCGAAGACACTCCGATGGTGAAATCAGTCACTAGATTCAGAGAAAGAAAATAAAGAGTGTTTGTGTGCTGTATCACAGAAAGAGATGAGGCATACCTTCATTCCATAGGATGCCCTCCTTTTATAGAGGGGGTGCGATATTTACTTGATAGGATCCCTTGTTTGGGCTGGACCCATTATAGGCCGTGTTTGAGTTAACCCCAATAAGCAGATATATATATATATATATTTAATTCTGGCTCCCACAACCTCGTTTGAGAAGTGGCTACTTTTTAGACTTTTTGACTTGTGTTTGGGAAGATAAGTAGAATTTTTTGAGAGATTCTTGTATTGAAAAATGTATTTGAAATGATGTGAAAAAATAAATGACAAAATTGTCCCTAATGATTGAATGATTGGTATGGTTATCAAAAAAAATCAAGGGCTCACAAATGCTTTTTGTACATGTTTTTTTGGCTTTTTTCAATTTGAGGCTATTTTAGCCTCTAAACCCACTTGCCAAGTACCTCTATTGAGTTGACTGATTCACCTTACTTACCTACCAATCCCATATCACCACCAAATTCACCACTTCACATAGCAACACACAACAGCACGCGGTCTTTCTTCCATTTCCTTCATCTACAACCTCACTTTTCCCTTTCTCTATTTCTTATATCAAACTATCGTCTATCAATTCTTTTTCACTCTTGGTCAAACCACTCTTCATCTCTTATTACACAATCCCTCTATGCACAAATCACTCTGCCCACCTCATTGCATAAACTATCCTCTTCAAGCCAACATATTGTGCTGAAATTGATCATTGTCAATGGAAATAAAAATTTGGTTTGTGATCAATTGAGATTATAAGATTGAGTTATGTGTGTGTGTATATATATGAAGGTAGATGTCAATTGAAATAGAGAGATAAAGACCCTAGACTCTAATTGTTCTCTCATTATCTTTATTGAGACCATGCCAACAGCCACTGAAACTTAATTGTTAAAGCTCTTATAAACTATTTCTACACATAATTGCATAAAACTCATCATTCTAACCCACAATTTCAATTCAATTTGCATGTATATATATGTGTCTTGTGCAAAAATGTATTAAACAAAAGCAAGATAATTACACAAAACCCATCATTCCTGTAATAACCCGAAAATTTAAGTTATCCCTTAAATTTTATATAAAAAATATACATAATTTTATATTATTATTCAAAATTATTTTCTGAGTATTATGATATTTTTATTATATTTTTCTCTATAATTTTCATAGATCGAAATACACTAAAAATATAATATTTTTTTGTATAACACACTTGCATGCCCTCCAAGTGTCTTCCTACCCACGCCTACTCACCTATATAAAGAGATAAACATGTGCATCAACATCATCCATCCTAAAACTCTCTTATTCCCTCTCTCTCTCTTCTCTAGTTTTGTTTTTATATATAAAACGTTGAGTTTAGTTTGGAGCATGTAGTGGGTCGCAATGAACAAAAGGTAAAAGTTAGAATTAATCTTAAGGTGAGTTATATTATACCTTGAGTTACCATAATATATTTTACGTACGTTTTAACTTATTATATTTTATTTTATACAAGTTATGTTTTATAAATTATTATAAACTATATTATTATTTCAGTTATGTGGATTATTTTCTGAACCCTATCTGTTAAAAGGAAACTCATGGATATGTTTGTTTATATTTTAAAGAATATTTGATTATGACCTTATATACAATTATATTTTATAAGTACCACCACGGGAGTCCTATGTCTTTGGGGATTTAAATAACCATTGGCCCTCTGATTAGTCATTTTGTGACCCTTTATCTGTCATGAATCCACTAATACTACTAAAAATCGGACTTTTTGCGACGGTGTCAAACGTCGCAAAAGGTCCATATATCGTCGCAAAAGACTTTTTGCGACGGAGCAGCGACGAAAAATGGGGGGTGGCAGAAAGGGGCGTGACAAAAAGTATTTGCGACGGTTACAAACCATCGTTTTCTTGTAGCGACGGCTAATCAATAGTTTTTGTGACGGTTTCACCTGACACAAAAAAGGGGAAAAAAATGGCATTTTTAGTGACGATATTGATTGCCGTCGCAAAAAGTATTCTTAGCGAAGGTCTAAAACGTCACCAAAAAAGTAATATTAAGTTAATACCGTATTAGCAATAGTTTAAACAGTCGCAAAAGATTTATTTGCGACAGTTGAAACCGTCGCAAAAGATTGGAACTAATATGTATATGCGACAGGTTAACCCATCGCTAATAAAATATAAGGAAATGAGAATTGCATTAGCGACGGTTTATTATTGTCGCAATAAAATTATTTTTTATAAAATCATATTTATTAAATATTTCTTATACAAATTATTAACATTTTCTAAAATATATCCACATCCACATCCCCACATCCAAATTCACATTCAAAAAATCATACACCAAGAATAATATATGTACCTTGTAACAATTGTCAACCAAATATTCTTTATATAAAATAACCTCTAACAATACTAATAATTTTTTATATTCAAGAACTCAAATTTTTAGTATCGACAATAGAAATAAAAAAAATAAAAACAGATATAGTGTAGCTTGTTTTGATATCAATAGTAAGCTCCCATATCGATATGAGAAGATATCACGTACTCAAAAGGTTTGCACCTGCAAAAAGAAACAACAAAGAAAAAAAATCATTATTTACAATATAATTATTTTCAAGCTTACAGAAATATAAAAAAATTTGATATTTTTTTCAAAAAATAAATAAATAAATAAGATTGTAAACTCTAATATCAATATGCGAAGATATCATCACGTACTCAAAAGGGTTGCACTTGCAAAAAAAAACCAAAAAAAAAAATCATTTACAATATAATTAATTTCAAGCTTACAGAAAATGTAAAACATTTGATATTTATTTCAATAAATAAATAAATAAGATTATAACATATACATAAATCGAGAGCTACACAATGTATCTTCCCACAGCTTCTCCAGCTGTTCTTAAACATCGGGATGTTGTTTCCAAAACAACGTTCGGCTTGTTCGCTTTTAAAACAAAAACTTTGCAATATTCAGGTCCAATTAGAACTCCATCAATTTCACACAACAGATCAACACTATCCCTCCGCCAATTGGACTCTTGGTATTACAGAACTTTCCAAAGAAACTTTAATTACATCCGACAATGATGATAATGCTATTAAAAACAGGCAATGATTGTACACATTGAGCTATAATCTAACAATAATCGAATAAACACAAAAAGAGTTTGTAAAGAAGAAGTTTTGGACAGTATTGCAAAGCAGGGTAAAAACTAAAAGATATGATTGTAACACCTGTCATTTAGATTCTTAGATAGCTTGCAATTTTTTTTGGAAAGAATAGGGTGATGGAGAAGTATGAAAGCCTCTTTTCGCTTTCAATTTATTGATTTGTTTTTTGGCAGAGGAAGAAACTGTTGGAAAAATGGTTTAATATAGGCATAATTTTTTTAGCTCAAATTTGAGTGAGCCCCGAACGTCTTTTGGGGTGGGTTCGAAGAGGTGACGTGTTCCTTGCCGCGTGGCAAGTCACACGGTGAAGACGGAACGTCAAAAACCATTTATGAGTGAATGAGAAGTTGACGTCGTTTTCGGGTTTAACATTAATTTTTAAATAAAATTCGTTTGAATTTTTTAATAAAAAATTATTTTGGGAATTTAATTTAAATTCTAAATTTTGGGTTCCTAAGTGGTTTCCTAAAATTTGTACCTCTTATTTTATTCATTAAACTATTCAATTTGTTTAATATATATATATTCAATAGTTTGATATATATATATATATTCAAAATAGTTTATTTATTAAAGTTGTAACAGGTTGGGACAGTTCCACCAACGATAAACAATTTGGAAAATTGTTTTATCTATTCAAATAGTTTATTACATTATTTCCCTATAGTTGCTTTGACTTTGTCTCCAACGGATTCTTTTTTGAATAAATTCGAATCAGTTGAATTCAAAACATGTGGCACCTGTTGACCATTATTTGTACCGATTCGGACTATTCAATCTGTCTCTTTGTTGCCTATATATAGATTATATTCCAGCAATTTTGAAGAAAGAGAGACATTCGAAAATTCAGTCTGTTTATTTTGCATTTGTTGTCCAGAATTTATAACATTTGCATTATTCTTCATATTAGAGTTAGAATAAAATTCAAAGAGTTAGAACACAGGTTTGATTCGCCGAACAAATTGTTTGGAGTGCTACTACAATTTGTGAAGATCATTGTATCCTGGGAGATAGACGCCACTCAACCGTAAACACCGTAGCAGGGCAAATCTGTCTTAAGGACAGAGTGTTACACACTCGACTTAGTCTTAATTTTAATTCGTTTCGATAAATAAATCTGGTATGTTATTTATTTATTTTGTTTGAATTTATTTCAAGTTATTTTATTTACACAGAAGATTGTTCCAACAATCTTAAGACAAATTTGAATTATTCTGTTTACATAATTTTTCGTTTGTTTTCCTTTTTCATTCTTCGTAAATAATTTCGGAAGAAAATTATTTTCTGTGGATTTACAAAATAATATTCTACTTGGAAAAACAAATAGTGATTATATGCTATTTGACAGATAGTAGTAATATACTGTTTCTTTTCTTTGACAACTAGTATTACGATACTGATGTCATTAACAATTCAGAATATATTTTTGTAGAATTTTTTCAGAAATTAATTTTGGATTTTAGAAATTATTTTCTGAGTTTTCATTAATTAAAATTCTGTTTCAGTATTTTAATTATTAAAATGCTACTGAAATTAATTTTCTTGTGTGGAATTAATTTGGTTAAATAAAATTTTATTTTATTTCCAAATTAATTGAAAAATAAAAGTTATAGTTTTTATTTCTTTTATTTTTACAGAATTTAATTTCTTGTGTGGAATTATTTTGGTTAAATAAAATTTTATTTTATTTTCAAATTAATTGAAAAATAAAAGTTATAGTTATTATTTCTTTTATTTTTATAGAATTTAATTTCTTGTGTGGAATTATTTTGGTTAAATAAAATTTTATTTTATTTCCAAATTAATTGAAAAATAAAAGTTATAGTTTTTATTTCTTTTATTTTTACAGAATTTAATTTCTTGTGTGGAATTATTTTGGTTAAATAAAATTTTATTTTATTTCCAAATTAATTGAAAAATAAAAGTTATAGTTTTTATTTCTTTTATTTTTACAGAATTTAATTTCTTGTGTGGAATTAATTTGGTTAAATAAAATTTTAA